TATGTGAACACCTGCAACTTCAACCCGCAGCCGAGGAAGAGGGTGTGCCAGTTGATTCGGGAAAGCTCAGGCTTCGGGTGGCCTGACCGCAAACTGTGGCAGAAGTCAAGCATGCGGCTCTTGCAGTAGTGCCGCTTACACGTCAAAAGTTTACTTGTAAGATTTTGAAACTGAATCGGCCCGTGGGGTCAAGACCAAGGCAGACAGAGGAGGGTGCGTTCTACCCTTTCGCAGCGGTCTCTTGGTAGCAAATGTAGCAAAAGGTGATGCTTCGGGTCCAGGTTTCTTCAGCTGCGCGCACCTTTTGGCAATTAAGTGGCCTGCCGCAGGCTGTGATCAACGTGTGCTTTCGATTGCCTTTGCCCCGGTGAGCAGGGCTGCGCCAAGCCAGAAAGCAGCAGTATGATATGTGCAGCACGTGTATGCACATGAAGTCCATGACACTAGATGCCAGCTTTCAACAGTTCCAGGGTGGGTTCAAGGTGTGGATTATGCCCCCGGTCATCTGCAGGGCTGGAGTCGCGCTTTCAACTGTAGAAGTCGTATGAAGTCGTTGCGTTTTATATCTCGGAAATGACAGTTGAGATTGCAACATCCGATTTTCAGAGCAAGTTTGGGACGTTACTCGTAGGGCACTTCTGATGGATGTAGACAAGATGCATAGAGAATTCTCCATACCAACGCAAAGAGTTTTCGCGGAAGATATCTTTGTAGAGGATGCAAGCGGGTAGGAATGGTCCAAGGACTTGCCCGCAAAGAAGTTGGCCGGCTCGTGGTGTTCTGTGCAGATTCCTCGTGAAAACTTTCAACCTCACGTAGTCACAGGCATGGTAGAATTAACAAGAGCCGCGGTTTGAAGGGGGATGTGCATGTAACGCGTGAGGATGTTCAGGGCATCGCCATCAGTAATGATGGAGCAGCTACGAATTTGTCAGAGAATCTCCGTGAGTAATACTTGAATTTCCAGTGGATCTGAATGTTGGATGCCAGGATTTCCTAGATATTCATTTTCGGGGCAGTTCATAGAAGGGAGTCTCAATGCAAAAAGCCGTGCTTCTCTGGGGACATTTCCACGAAAACATGTGAGGGCTTCAGCGGGATTTCTACATTCTACATATGCAAGACAACAGGACTTCTTGGGGAACCTGCATGTCACACGTCAAACGCCCCCCCGATTCTTATGGGGAGCTCCAGGTGGAAATAACAACGCTTTCTATGGGAATCTCGATTCAAAGTGTAGGTTTTCATGGGAATCTCCATGTTGAGCACACCTCTGGAATGATGATAGGATTTCTCTGACGGGTCGCATTTGAAATGATTTTGCTGGCGATTTGCACTGCAAACGATCAGACCTTCGGAGTATCTACATGTGAAGTAGTCGGAAGTCTAGAAATTTCCAGATATGATGACAGAACGTCTATGCAGATCTCCATGAGCCCCATGAACAAGGATAGGACGTCTAGGGCAATGTATAAGAGACTCGCATATAAAGTGATGGGACGGAATCCTCATGAAGAAGTACGTATGATATCTCCAAGGTATTTCCATAAAAATGAAATTTCCAGGAGATTCCCCATGTAAAACGAGAGGATTTCTAGGGGAAGCTTGGTAAATGCTAGGAATTTAGGATTTCTTTTCGGGTTTGCGCCGGTCATGATAGTTTTTTTTATAGGAAATTCCGATAAAGCTGATTGAACTTTTTTGAGGAGTTCTAAGTCATTCCACAGAGCAAGGATTTCTTGGGGTAGCCCATATGGACTGATAGGATCCTTTTCGAGTGTTGTCTGCATGAACAGTGAAAGTCCTACTATTATGTTTACGGCGATGCCCTGGATAATGATGATGAGATTCCTACAGGAACTTCACTGTAAAGTGCAGCGGGGCCTCCGAAGTGACGAGTTTTCTAGCAGAGTCTCCATAGTGGTCTTGTTCAACAACAGAGTTTACGACGACTACGGAGAAGTCTCAATAAAAAAGCATAGGATCATATAGGATCTATGCAGACATTGGGATTTCCCAGCATTCGTTTGAACCACTGTCTGAAAACCGCTGTGCCCTGCTCAGCAGGACCAGATGCAAAGACCCTGCTGGTACGCCCTTGTTGCCCGCTGTGATCTGCACAACCCAAATGCTGGGACTCTGCCAGCTCGCAGTAGTGGATTCAGCATGACTCAGCTGCCTCTCGCAGGTCTTGTATTAAAACGAGCCGTTTAGCACTTACCTTTTCGCCGGACAACGGATTTGCGAGTAGGCCTTCCCGCCCAACAAACGAGTGAAAACGCAACATCGTAAGGTGAGAACTGAGTTGAGTGGTTGTGACCACAATCACCTCATGAGCATTTGTCAATGTCAGACTGGGCAAGACCACAAGCCGCAGCAATCCTCAGGTGCGAGATCCCTACTAGCCTGCTTCCATGTTGCCCGAGACATATAAGCAGGAGCTTGCGCTCCAATGGCATGGTGTTCAAAATGCGCACGCAACATCAAATTCCACATTATCATGCTTTAGCGTTGAGACCAAGCTCTAGCACGAGATGGAAGGCGGAAGGCGAACCAACGCGATGAAGGTCCTTCAGTGGTGGTGGTGGTGGTGGTGGTGGTGGTGGTGGTGGAGGATGTGGACGGCACGGGTGCTGTCTGCCTTACAGCTTGGTCCCTCACGCCATCTCAGCCCTTCCGCTAGCGTCATTGGGGCTGCGGCCACAGTTCAACAGGCCGCGCCCCTCAATCCAAGCCTCATTGCAGCACCTGAGCAGGAGAGAGTACTCTCGAGCCAACGTGGGTTGGACTCGGTCACTTGGCAAGACAGCTCGCTTATCGGACCCAACAGCTCTTCCTCCTACGATCCCTTGTAATAGTACTAAGCTGGGGGCCGCAAGAACGGAGAAAGGGCATGTTACCTAGTCAGTCCAGCCACACGCACACACGCACCGGCGGCAAACCATGGGGAGCCTCCTCTGCCAATGGCACAAATGGCCGTTGCCCCTCTGGCCGCTCCCTGACCAAGTCAGTGTTGGCTTGGCGTGCTAGGACGGTGTCTGAAACTGAAGGCAGCGCCCCGGACAAAAGCCGCGAAGGTCATTCAGCTTGCGGAAAGTGCACTGGAGCAACACGCAATTTCAATGGTGGCTTGTTCTGGCCATCGGGTGGCATCATCGTCGGGGCTCTAGTAGCAATCTCACAGTCTGCGTGTATGTTCAAGCCTTGCATGAACCAACTCCGCCTGTGGTTAGCTAGCTTAGGGGACTAAGGTTTTTGTTTGCAGTGCAAGCTTTGGAACTGACTGCCACAAGGCAACGGGTAGCAAGTGACTGACGGCAAACCCGACTTACCCGTTTACGTACTTGTGCGACAGAAATGGCCCCTCAAGCTCCTCAACAATTATCAATAATTGCGGAGGCCTTCGAAACAAGATGGTACGATTTTGGGCTTGCATCCGTACATCCCAAGGCTGAGGTTCGAAGGGCCTTGAGCTCTCAAGGTGGGGCCCTAAACTCCCAAGGTCAACGCCTTGAATCGCCGAAGTTGCCACGAAGAAGAAGCCTTGAATCACTTATGAGTCCGCGAAGCTAACTGATGTATGACGCCCGTTCACCATGTAGAAAATGGCAGGATGACGGATTGTGATTTGACCGCCGTGTTTTGGAGCAACGCAGTTTGATGATGTTTGATGGCGCTATCCAATCCTCTGTCCGTTGTGTAAGTCTGGCAGCTTGGGGTCCACCAAGGGCGGGATGGCTGATGCTTGACTTGAGGCGAGCTCGAAAGGCCGTCAGTGCTGGAATGGCAGTCGTGGTTTCATGTCAGTGTAGCCATGTCAGAACAGGTCAAAGTGGAAGATGTGTGTCGGCCAGCCCAGAGGTCATTCTTTGTGAACGCGCTGGTGAGTAGAACGTTTTCTCAGAACTTCTGGATCACTGTTTAAGCCTTTAAGGTACTGGATTTGAGTATCGGCGGTTTGCAGAGTTGACGATTATCGAGTCCGGGACACGGCTTGGATGTGTTGGCTAAAAGACCATCGGAAGCATCTGTCCCAACAACTAAGGCCAGAGACATTTTTGCTCCTGGCCACGTCCACCGTTGTGGCTGTGCATGAGGCAGCCATGCGACATCCAGAAAATCTCGCAATAGAGCGCTCTTTGGAACAGCGTGACGCCTTGGCAGGAGTGGTGTACGAAGAGGTACTCCGTGCTCCAGTTGCTGGCTCAGCTGTCCTGAGAGGAGTAGCATTCCAGAATCATTGCTTGCTGCAAGGTTTTCCAAATGTGTGGATGCTGCAATGAAACGAGTGTCTCTTTTCCTTACGCAGACGACAAAGGACTCCAAAGCATTTCATTGCCGGTGCTAGATGATGGGCGATGCTAGTCGCTATGTTCTTTGCTCGGGCAAGTGTTGACCAGGAGCCTGCGGAAAAAGCTCTGGCACGGCTTCGTCAAACGTGGGCGTTGCAACTGAGATGCATTGTTACACATTTTGTTTTCCTTTCCCGACAGCTGTGCTGCCTCCAAAGCGTGGCAATTCTTTAGGCCCGAGCTTGAAATAACGGCGCGAGCGTGACGATCGCGCATCATCCAGATGTCGGCTTCATTCTCCTTTCTGGGAAGCCGCCGCTATGTGGTGGATGCGGCAGTCTTCTAACTTTAACAAACTGCTCATCGGTTTCACCGTAGCTTCAGGAGAATCTGCAACTCATGAATCTACAGCAGGATCACTGGCACACATCTTTCGTCGAGGCATTTGTTCAGGTGTTTACGGAGTTTGCATCATATCGTTGTTGCCAGCACTGGATCTTTTCAGCACAGGGATGCAAAGACATCGCAGCACACAGAATCTGCCAGCAAGGTGGCAAAGCTGCCCGCCCTGGCATGGATGCCATCTGACTCTCGCTGACTGCTCTTACGAAAAGGCTCCTTTTGACCGATTTCACTGGCAAGAGCTTCCGCTCAGCACATGACCTTCTTGGAAAAGGGCCGTGCCGGCATTGGCCAGTATGTTTCAAGGTCTTCGGCAGCTCTGGTTTGGGACAGCTGGATGTTTACGGCATCCAGGATCAGAAGAATTGTGGCTTGTCTCGGATCCAGGATTCCAAGCTGTGTGCTTCTGACAAAGGAAGCAGTGTTGGCATGTGAGCTGTGAGGGAGACCTGTGGCAAGTGCAGGTCAGACTTTAACATTAGAGGCACTTGACTCAGAGTCCATTTGCGCTGGTAGTCTAACCCTGAAGAGACAGACGGGCTGCATGCCATTCCAGCACATGCGCTGGCAGGCATGCTTCACAGCAGATGTTGTGGCTTGTCCTTTCAGGGCGTAACAGTGGCTGTTTGCCAAGCCAGTGTGGCCCCAAGAGCTGTCCGAAGGTGGAGGCTGGGTCAGCACTAGGTGACTTGAAATGACTTGAAGATCAGGTGCAGGGCGTGCTTTGATAGCAGCTGAGACGTCTGTGACCTGTTTGAGTCCAGTTCCATTTGACAAGCAGGCGGGGATGGCGGGGTGAGCATGCCTATGCCGTTTTGCATCGTTTTTTGCATCAAGGTCAAGAAGCTCCTCCTGCAGGCCGGACTGGCAGTTTTCCCTTCCACAGGGCTTCCGAAAGCTTCTGAACGCCCCGGCATCTTTAAGGTTCGCATTAACGACGCGCGGGAGCTGATCACCGCTACCTACGGCGCTCCTCTGGTAGATGTGATGAACCGCCCCCGCTTTTTGTTCTGCAAAGGCCCGGAGGATCCAGAGAGACAGGTGCAGCTGGGGCGCTTTCAGACGCTTGCAGGGTGGGCACCTGACTCAGCAGGAGCCTGTGCGGTGTGTCTTTCCTTTCCAGAGAAGAGAGGGTAACATGCTAAGGCTCTGTTCAGGGACCTACAATTCCTACAAGCATTCGAGCACTTCATGCGCCCGCAATCGCCCGCAATCGCCTTGACTTGCGTTCAGACCTTGCCATGCCTCAGCGAGGTACTGTGTGGACTTCCGAGTGGATCAGGTGTTGATGTTTTGGGGATCCAAGCTGAGAGGCCTGCAACCATCTTGAGCTGTGAGAAAGGGTGGGCATCCCAGGCCGGCACTTGCCTGCAGCATGGCAGCCGCCCTCAAGGCCAAGCATGTTGACAGAAGCTGCAGACATCCAGTGAGTGCCATGTCAGGGGCGACGATGATGGCTCTCCAGAGTCTTTGCCTCGACAAAGTGCTCGCAATGTTGTTCGTGGCGTTCGTAGCAAGGCCGGTCGACATCAAGGACTTTGTCCGCAGCAGACTGGGGGAGCGACAGCCGCCAGAGGTGCGTTGCACTCCTATGCACAAGCTGACAAGCATTTTCGGAGTTGTTAACTTCAGGTCGGTGATGCCGCAGTTTCCGCAAATGTTGGTCTGGCAAACGCGGCAAGAGTCTGAAGGAACAGTTCACATTTGACAGATAGGAGAAGGTTATTGTTTTGGCAAAGTCAATGAGAGCACTAACCACCTTCGCGGGCAAACATTTTTCCGATTTAGCTGCCACCGCAGGTTGAAGAGCCTGCAGATTGATTTTGCATGCCTGCAATTCCGCAGCCATCTCGCCAAGCATTGCGGGGTGGAGTACTTGGGGCTGGGTGGCAAGCATGGGTCTTTGCGGAGGCCCGCTCAAGGGATTTGCGTGCGAGACAGTCGCCTAATCATACATGCAGACCTTCATCTATGCTTGCCTTTGATGCCTTTGCTAGTCTGCTGATCCTGCGCTGCTTCTTTTCAGTCTTGAAGTGCTGTAATCGAAACAAGGCGGCGTTGCACTTGCAGCTGAGTTTTGTGTCGCATCGCTGCAGGGAAAGCGGCTGCTGCAGAACAAAGCCCACCGCCAAAGAAAAGAGATTCCAGCGCCATCAAGAAGGAAGTGAAGGAGTTGCACTCTGTGCATTTGTTGCCGCTTGACACTGTCTCCCTGTGCTGCTGTTGCATGGTATTCACAACTTCCATGCATGCATGGCAGCATATGGCAGCCTTTGTGGACAGGATGGTGGTATCGGATATGCTCAGTTCATCATTGAGAACACGGGCAAGATCACAGAGCATTACCAGATGGCGCGGCCGCTTCTTGCTGGAGTGCGCTTTCAGAAGCTGTGGCAATCAATGCGTTGCAGGACAAGAAGAAGCTGGGGGAGGGTTCCTATGGCTCAGTCACCAAGGCTACCAACATCTCCACCAAGGCAGGTTGGCCCCAGCAACGACACACCAAGATATAATTGGTCTGACGAGGCCATCAGAGCGGTCAAGACAATATCCAAGACTCAGATGAAAAACATAGAGCGGTTCAAGCAGGCCTTGGTTGAGATTGCCCAAAGGTAGGTTGCTGATGCAGCTATGATAGGAGATTGCCATCATGAAAATGATGGACCATCCCAACATCATTAAGCTGTACGAGTCCTTTGAGGATATCAGGCTTGGGAAGTGGGTCCTTGTGCGTCGGATATTTGCCAAGTTTGCCGCTTGAAGGCCGCTTGGCTTCCTGACTGCTTTCAGGAACATCTACCTCGTTATGGAGCTGTGTGCTGGTGGTGAGCTCTTCGACCGAATCATTGAATCTGGTCACTTCTCTGAGGCTCCGCTAGCAAGTTCCGAGTTCTTTGCCACATTGCCACGCAGGTATCATGTATAGTCATTCCTTCACGACCGCTTTGCAGGTCCAAGCGGCCATCTTGATGCAGCAGATCATCCGCAGTGACCTGAGTCTTCCCAGTCCGGTCGTTTCTCAGCCTGAGCGGACGGCCACTTTGCCAATACTTCCAGGTGCCATCTACTACATGCATGAGAACCACATTTGCCATCGTGACCTGAAGCCTGAGAATTTTCTCTTCATGACCAAGGACACAAAGCTCAGCCATACCCCTCCGCGTTGACTAAGAGCTGCCTTGCCTCCCCGGGAATAATGCAACCTGTGGCAGGATCCCATCGAGAAGAATTTCCTAAAAATCATCGACTTTGGGCTGTCCTGTAAGTTCAGTCCAGAACAGGCGCCTTACAACACCTTTGTGAGTAAGCTACCCTTCACACTCGGGATTGTGAGGCGCTCACCACTAAAGCTGGGACGCCGTACTACGTTGCACCCCAGGCTGAAGCCCAAGCCTGCTGTCTGTTTGAACTGGGCCAGCATACCTCACTCACAGGTCCTAGCTGGCAAATACGACCAGCAGTGCGACATTTGGAGCTGCGGTGTGATCATGTATGTGCCTTGACAGTATTAGGGAAAGCTGGCCGGGGTACCTTGCAAGTAAGTCCGCTTCCGGCCAAACTCATAGCAGGTGCTGCTGTGCGGATATCCGCCATTTTTTGGAGATACCGATGCAGACGTACTAGCCAAGGTCTTCACCCCGGATAGGAAGCAGCAAAATCTTCTGGTCCAACCCTCGTTTGTGTAATCAGGTCCGGCTCGGAAATTTCAACTTCAACCCAGCAGACTGGAAGAACGTGTCACATCCTCAGGGTGCGAAGCAGACATTTGTAATTTGTACTGGGTAAGTTATGACAATGCCCTGTCTCAATTTGCACACCGGTCAGGTCTGACGACGCGAAGAACTTGATCCGCTGGATGCTGAAGATGAATCCTCGAGACCGATATACCGCTGAGCCGCTTGGTGAAACAGCTGCCAAAGGAATTTGCACACGTGCTCCGGGAGCATCCTGAAGAAAGGGACAACTGTGTCGTTTTTTGTTTTGAGGGTCGGGTTGAGCCGGCTGCGGATGCCTGAACTTGAATCACAACCTAGTTTGGACAAATAGGCACAGCATGTATCTACTATTCCAGGCAAGCACTCAATCACGAGTGGATCAAGAATAAAGCGCCAAGAGCTCAAGCAGTGTCCGCGCCTCAATGCTGGAACATGCAAAGTTGCCCTCTCTTTGACATGTGATATCGGTCAGCTGCCAACAGCCCTTGAGTGCATCGTGAGTGTGTAAATATGCGTTATGGGTATACGGTCACTCTTGACCGCTCGCCACCGCGAGCTGTCCGAGGACGTAAAGGCTGCAGCTGGCCTCAGTAACCCTCAGCAACTCAAGCAGCCAAGCAGCCTCTCCTCGTGCCTGTTGCCGACGTACGGCGCACAGCAGTTCAAAGCAGAACGCGCAGTCACGCATGGATGGCCCGGTGCCTGGCTCCCTGTGTTTTCCGAAGCCGCGGACAGATGCGGACGGCGTTCTGCCTCTAACCTGTTGACCATGAAAAGTGCAAGTATCTCCTTGCAGTCCAAATCAGCGGTGGGATCTAGAGTGGGTGAGGGACGGCACGTGCGCGTGATCAGCATTTGCATCAGCAAGGTTCAGTGAAGCATGACTCTCCAACACATCCCCGTACGCTGGGCAGCTGTGTGATGCAAGACTGATAATCTGGAGGCCTTTGCGATCGAATTTCGTGGACAACCTGCGGGGGTTCCAATCCCAGAACAAGCTCAAGAAGGTGCAGCATAGTCAGACTGGCATTGCTTTGAGAGGCATGTTGGAGTCGCGTGACTGTTCCGTAGTCATTGTCCCGCGTCGTTTGCCTTTTGATTCTCACCTACCATAATCACCTGAAAAATCCCTTCCCCCCTAATATTGAACGACGTCCCCTTCCCCCCGGAAACAACAGAAAATCCGCGGCCCGAAGAATTGCTAATTTCGTTAGGAGATATTGAAAGAATTACATAGGGCTGCCTGCAAATCCTTTCGAACTCTATGGAAAATCAACATTAGGCAGTCAATCAAATATATTACTTGATGATGGAGTATTCAAGCAGCTAATAAATCAATTGAACAACTAATTGATAATTCCAGAACCCACCCTCAATTCATGATGAGGTGAACCCTTTTTTAAGTTGTCTTGCCCTTTTAAAATGCTCCTCCGGATTTTTAGGCCCCTGAATTTACTTTACTCTCTAATATCAGAGGGATGGAATATTACGCGGGGGATTGGTGCAGTTGCTGGTGGTTGATGTTCTTTCATGTTTTTTGGGCGCGGCTGGTAGGCTGCATTCTTGACTCGGATGAGTTAGACGGGTAGCCTGGAGGTTGCTCTGGTTTGCCGTGCTGGTGTCAACTCCTGTGAATATGCCGTTGAGATTTACAGGGGTCTGGATGAAGGGCTCATGCCTGCGATCTCTCTGACACAGCTCAGTCTCAATCTTCGAACACCTCCCAGAAAGAAGCTTATTCAGGACAGTAAAATTCCCCCGCGCCTCTTGGTTTAGTCTTGGCCGGTCCCTCAAGTTCTTGTCCTTTTCAGAAAAGGCCTTCACCGATAACCAGAGGAAAATTACCGACAAGGACTGTTATCATAAGTAGTTCGATCAGAGTGTTTTTCCATTCCAGGTGATGATTTTTAACCGATAACGCTACCGATGACGCTACCGATAACACGTTTGAGAACTAAAGACCACTTGGCAGCCCATGGCCCCTGCCAAGGCTGTACAGATGCGACATAACTCAACCGCGTGTAACACTCAATCAGTACCTGCCCACAGCTACAGTTCACTTTCGCAGCATGTGCTGAACCTCTTGGATATGTCCCTGAAGAGCACAGCCTCAGTCATTCTATAACATTATGTTACGGAAACCAAGCTTGGGAACGCGGTTCTTTTACTGCCCCAATTTCAGCGTATTTCAACAATCAGCGAGTTGGTTTTCTGAGTTCGTACCACATCCTGCCAACCTGAGAGTTTTCGAAAAAGGACTAAGCCTAACCATCTTCCGCCCCTCCCTGCTACTGCTGGCAGCAGCGCTGGTGGGGGCGGGGAAGGTGGCGGCGCTGTCAAGTATGAGAGGCAAACAGGTCTGGTATTGCCAGTTCTGACCTCATGTTGACACCTTGGGCTACTTCCGCAACTGTAAGCTTTGTAGCGGGAAAAATCAAGAAGGCACATGCGCAAGATAGAAAGCACAAGGAAGGGCTCTCATTGGCCATACTTTGGTAACATCAGGGGCAGGGCCAAAGGAAGCGGAAAAGACAAGCGAAAGAACTTATTCCGCGAGAAGTTTAAGTGGAATCAAGGATGTCCTTCATTTCCTAGATTTTTCGTTTCAAATAAAAAGGTAATCAATCGTGCCATGAATATCAAAGAATCCAACTAATCCAGCTGTAGTCTACTGGTTTGCAACAGGGGACACTATGTCTTAGATTTAGTTGGTCCTTTATAGGTTTTCCTTTGTTGCCCAAGTTTCTTTTTTTGTGATCACATCTTTGGCGCGGGCCGCAAATAGCTGAAAATCCGCCAACCTCGGGGGCCTGTCGGATGGCCCGAGGAGACGGAGAGGGTCAAAACCCTCTTGTTTTCCCCCTCACGGCCTATCCCAAGGTGCTCCAATTGGCGGCGTCTTCATTGGCCCCTTAGAAGTAGTGTTTGCACTTTTCAATGAAATCTTCCGAGATTTTGCGTTGTTTTGCAGGAGTTTTTGACTGTTTTTGTTTCGAGCTGAACATGCTGCTGATCAAGACGTTAAGGTAGCCTAGGCACTAGACGTGTAGGTGTTTTGCTATCTATTTTTTCGCGGCAGGTGGTGGCGCTGGTGGTGCCGGTCAGGGTGGCGCCGGTGGCGATGGTGATGGTGATGGCGGTGGCGATGGTGATGGTGGTGGTGGCGGCGGCGGCTGCGGGGGTGGTGGTGGTGGTGGTGGTGATGGTGGTGACGGTGGTGATGGTGGCGGTAGTGGCGGTGAGGGTAGTGAGGTCGCGGTTGTGGTTCTGGCGATGGAGGTGGAGGTTGTAGGTGGCTGCGTGGGTTATCGTGGGTTATGGTGGTTGTTGTGCTCGTGGTGGGCGTGGTCGTCATGGTGGTGGCGGTCGAGGTTTGCACGCGTGGTTGCTGCGGTTCCGGCTTGAAAGCGCTTCCGATGCAGGGGCGGTTCGCGCGTATCATTTGTTGTCCTGCAGCTCGTTCCCTAACTTTCCTGGAGTTATGTCGGTCAGCTATGTGATTGATGTGATTTCTTTTGTTCTACTTTCTGGTGTTTCTATTTGGGCTGTTCCTCCTCTTGGTGCTTTCAGTGCTTCCACCGCACCTGCAGTGCATCTTCTTGTTGCCATCCAGCGCCTGCGGCAGGCGGCCTTGCATATTATTGCTGGTCAGCTGAACGAGGAGCGTCCGGTCAAAAGCCCTCAAACACTAGCAGTCACTAGCAACCGGAGGCACGAGGGGCACCAACACTCATCCTCACTTCACAGAGCTGTTCCAGCGATGCGCTAGCAGGACCAGATTAAGAGCCTGCGGGAAGTTTTCACAAGCTTGGACAAGAACGGCGACGGGTTGTTGACGCACCTGGGCCAAGAGTTATGGCTCCAGCAGCTTGCAGCAGCTTGCGGCAGCTTGCAGCAGCTTGTAGAGCTGGCGTGGACCGAGGCACGCAGAGTTGAAGGATGGTCTAGCAAAAGCCGGACTGAAAGATGTTCCTCCAGATCTGGCAGCCATTCTGGATGGCCACCTGGGCTGCAATAGCAAGTCCGTGTCACTGCGTCATATTGCGCCAGCAGCTCAGAGTCTCGAGCATTAGCGGCCCGTCGATAGGAAGCCATTTCATTCAAACAACAGTTTAACGTGCAAAACAGGTCTGCATAATTTTTCTGGAGCCAGTTTTGTTTGCATTCAAGGTGTTGATGCTGACGGAAGTGGAGTCATTGACTACACCGAGTTCCTGGCAGCAACACTTGATAGGCAACTATGATGCATACATTGTTTGTGATGTTGGGCAAAGTATCTTCTCCATCCGCACTTTTGCCTGCCGTTGCACTGTGACCTGCAGGCAACAGTACATGAAGGAGGATGTGTGCTGGGCAGCCTTCCGTGTGTTCGACAGAAATGGAGATGGACATATCTCCAAAGACGAGCTCAAGCAGGCGAGACATGCTTTTGGACGACCTGCTGTTGCTTTGTTACGTCAGGTGTGGCAGACGTTACGTTGGGAAACCATTTGTTGAACTTTGGGTTGGGTGTCTGGATAGGAGCTGTCAGATAAATAGCTGCAGACTCTGCGCTGTTTCAGACTCATCCCAGCCCAAAACTTAATTGCATTTTTTGCAGGTGCTGAGCAACAGCGAAGTAGAAGATGCACTGGGTGCCAAAGCCATTGCCGAATTAATGATGGAGGTGGATAGTTTCTTGGCAATACCCTGGCAGTTGCTACAGGCCTACAACCAGCCCAATCTGCTTACTTACATCATCTTACATCAAAGCTGCGCCAAAACCGTTTGGCGAGCGAGCGTCTACCAACCCGCTCATGCTGAGGTAATGGCGATGGCATCATAGACTTTGAGGAGTTTATGGCAATGATGAAAGGTTCAGGTGGAGGCAGGACGTGCTTTCATGGTTTAGGCGTATGCTTGTCGAAAGCCACTTCCATCCGGCAAAGGACCAAGCCCGTGAAGCCCATGATGAGGGCGAAGCGGAGCGTCCTGTCCAAGGAGACGGGGCTTTTTCTCTTTGAAAATGCGTTGAACCATCGACGAAGGTCGGCACTTTTTCATCTTGTCTTTGCGCAGCAGCCATAGTGCTGGCGATTGAAGCCAGATAAATGCCCTGTGCAAGAGCCTCCAAAGCACTGCCAACATTTTGAAAAGCCCAGGCCACAAGCTTGCTCTGTCAGAAGCGCTCTTGCACATGGACCTATCGTAACAGCAAAGGCAGCAGATAAGGCTCGAGGTTTCTGAGACGCAGTTCTGGTGAGATCTTTTATGATAGCAGTTTGCCCTGATTTCTTGAGACTACCCTGGCCTCTTGTCAAAAGCATGTGCTGCGTATGGCTGCCAGCACCACCACCCGGGCACCCGGGTTTGTGCAGAAATGAATATCTTTGGTTTGGGACGCTCTCACCTGGCATATCCAAGATAAAGCGTTCCGCCCATCTTGATATATCCTGATACTCAGGACATCAGCTTGGCCATGGCACTTGCAGTCCGCGCAATGCAAAGTCTGTATCTGTGACGTGTGCCTAAGGGATTGTTTCGATGCAGAGACCATGGTCAGCTGTTTGACATACACCCGAAGCGGTGTGTGCTGTGTTCATCTACGTCTCAGCGCAGGTAAGCGGCTTGTCCCCACGGGATTCTGTGGACAAGGTCTGCCATTCCGGCAAATGAGCTGAAGTGTGCGGTGATGCAAAACTTCGTCACGGATTCTACAGTTCGATTTGCGTCACATCGCTTTCAGCTTGGACACCACCTCTCACCCAGTGACAATTCAAGAACAAGAACGCCTTGCAGGAACTGAAAAAAACACGAGTACTTTTCCGAAGTCCTTTGCGTACGATGTAGAGGTCTTTGTTGGAATCCTCTGCTAAGGCGGCGGTCTCCTTTTTGCTCAAGCAGCGCGAGGCCATCCTGGGACAGGCCAGCTTTGAAACCAGCGTGAATCTTTTTTGTCAAAATTTGACGTAGAGGAACGTCTACCGCAAGAGCAGAGGACGCAGGTGAAGCTCTGCCTGTGAAACCTCTTGTGGACTCATGGGGTGCTTCACAGGGCGCCACCTCTCCCGCATCCTTGCTGCGTGCCATGGACACTTTGCTCAGTCCTCAGCCAACGAGCTCTACAAGAAAGGCTCTAAGGCTTTTCCAAGTCAGTGAGGATCTGACATCAGCGGCAGATTTGCGAGTTAGCTTGATTGCATGTGCATTTGCCAGTATGAAGCCGCATGGAAGTGTGCGGAAGGTGATGCTCCGAGAGTGGCAACAATCTACTTTGATGCGGTCTAACTGACGTTGTGACCCATGCTGTATTGTCTCGCTATTCTTTAACGTGGAGAGTGCTTGTTTTTCTCCGCTGAGTTCGTCCTTCATGCACCCGAGCGATGGGTATCTCACGCCCCCCTCGCGTGTAATACAATCACAAGTTGTGGAACTTCACTTATTGACTACAGTCCGCGATGTGTTGACTTGTAGGCACTATCAACAGGCCGTATCATCAACCAGTTTGCGCGTCCACATAATGCTAGTGATAAACCAATTGCTATTCATGCTCAGGCACGAAGCGCTGTCGCATGATGCGGGGTTTTCCATGCCGGGTGACTTTCAACCTGGGCCTGCACGCTAAGGCTCTTAAAGCTACTCCTTGAAACTGACGAGGACACAGCAGTTCGTTCAACGTTTGCACTTGACCCAGCTCCATACACAGCCTACTTGAACCTCTGCAGGACGATGTTCGTCTGACCGAAGTGCTAGAGGGTGGCGTGAGATGCAGAGTGGAAGATTGCGAAGGCTCTAGCGCTACAACTGCTGTCAATGCAGTTGTTGGACTTGTCGACTTGTTATTAGGAGCTAGTATTAAATTTACGAATTACAACGATCCGCAGCGGCATGTTGTCGCCTGAGCGTGTTCACAAGAAACGAGCAGTGTTCTTTAGCTGCACCAGGCTATACTGCCAGTAATACACTGACACCACCAAATATGTCCGCCACTACCAGAACCACTCGCAGCCGCACCACCATGGCCGCCCTCACCACTGGCCGCAGGCCTGGCCACCCCTATCCGAAACCCTGATGATGTTCGAGATCCTGAGAAGGCGTCAAAAAAGTGGAGTTCTGGTTGCACTGCTTACATTCCACTAGTACTATTCTATTCCATCGCAGACGGTCGACAGGCCTGCCGAATCAATGTGCCACCGGGGGCCATGTGGAGCAGAGGCGAACAGTCCAGAGCGAATGTAGCCACCTTCCCGAAGGTGAAACACGCATGGGCAAACAAACATCCAAAGCAATCCCATTCCGTCAACAACGCGAGTGCCCTCAATTTGTTTGAAGGACATAAAGGGCGTTTGTGCTGAGACCTTGCAGTCCGCTTCCCCCTGGCCATGCGGCTTGGACCGAAACCCTCACGCCACCAGGAGCAGCCATTCTTCTGGTTACAGAGTTTGTGACTTCTTGTCCTCCTCGCCCTGCACTTTGGACCGGGCCTGCTCTTCTCTGCTAGCTCTCGGTTGCGCACAGTCAGCGGCTACCCCCACATGGCCATGGCATCAGAGCTCTGTCGGCACGACTCCATGTTCAAGGAACCGCGGAACCCCCTGTTGCCGATCACTTGCAGGGCCCGAAGCATGATTAAAGGTGTGGGCGCTATGGTGTCTGAACTTTTTGCAGGGCGCCAGGGAACCTAGCAAAGGCATCCCAACACAGTGCCGGCTAGTACTGTCAAGCGTGGTATTCCTGCTGCACATGCCACTGCACCCAGGCTCAGTCGGCACGACCCCATGCTCCACCAGCAGAGGTGGCCCCCGTCACACTTGATCTGAATGCTCTTACACTTGCCCTGACTTGAGCTTCGGCCCTCCTTTCACAGCCTTCAACAAAGAATGGAACTGCAAGTAGTGCACGCGTGCCAAGAGGAAACCAATGCATTTATTCAGGAAATGGGTCAGGCAGGCCAGCGGGGAAAATTGCACATTTGGAGTCGTGGTGCTCACCAGCACGAGTATCGGAGCTGCTACGACTACTATTCCTCCTCCTTCCTACTACTGCTGCTACTACTACTACTACTACCACCACCAGTACTGCCTTCTCCTACTACTACTACTACTATTATCATCATTATTATTATTACTACTACTACTACTATCCCCTCCCCCTCCCCCCCCCTCCCCCCCTACCAAGTATGTTTGCTTAAATGGCCAACATATACCCAATATATACATGTGGGGGAGCCGGCATTAGACAACAGTAAGCAACATGACAACGAAATGCTCCCCACGCAGGGTGCTCTTTAGTTCTCCAAGGCCTGCCTTACAAGCCTTACCTGGACCATGGCTCCAAGAGATGCCAACGTGCACACACTGTCATCAAAGATTTCGGTGGTACAGAAAAAATGCGGGCCAAAATGGCGGTCCCACGGATCCACATTGGCTTGCATCCCGAAAAGGCCAAGACAAGCTCCATGATCTTGTTCAGTTGAAGCAGTTGAAGGGAGGCATTAAGTTTGGGGGAAATATATTAGTTGAGGTCGGTTTATGCACAATTATCCCCCCCGCTCCTCCCCCCGAAGCTCTGGTAGTGAAAATATCAGCCAACATAGTTGGTAGGGGGAGCGCCTACTACTACTACTACTACTACGACAACAACAACAACTACTACTACGACAACAACAACAACAACTACTACTACTACGACAACAACAACAACAACTACTACTACTACGACCACGACAACAACAACAACAACTACTACTACTACTACCACCACTACTGCTGCCGCTGTACGACGACAACGACGACGACGACAACGACGCCGACGACGACGACGACTACTACTACGACTACTACTACTACTACTGCTACTACTACTACTATTACTACTATACTTATACTACTACTACTACTACTACTACCACCTACTACCTACTAACTAAGTAACTAACTAAGTAACTAACTAACTAACTAACTAACTAATAACTAACTAACTAACTAACTAACTAACTAACTACTACTAACTAACTACTACTAACTACTACCAGCTGCTACGACTACTACGACGACTACTACTACTACTACTACTACTACAACTACTACTACTACTACCACTACTACTACTACCAGTACTGCCTCCTACTACGACGACGACTCCTCCTCCTACTACTACTACTACTACTACTACTCCTCCTGCTGCTGCTGTACTTTGGCAACGCTCGCTTCCCCTCCTCTTCGTCCTGTCCGGAAGGCAAACCCTGACGTAGACTCGAAGACGACGAGATGACACGATACCCTTCACCCAAAGACAGACCTATCAACAGCCGGTCAGGTGGTGGTTGGCTTAGAACACTCTTAGAACCCTGTTGAATGCTTGCCACACAAGCTCTGGGGTTGCGCAACAAAAGAGGATTGCTATGTTTGAAGTGCATGCCCAAAGCCGAAGCTATGCGGGACTCCAATCCCACTGCCATTTGCATTTGTGAAACATTTTGTTTGAGGCAATCTTTGGCAATCCAGAATGCAAAGCCCGTCAAAGCATGTCAAAGCAAATAAATGCCTTATCGCGTCTTCATGCCTGTCCCCTTGGCCACAGGTTTCCTGCGGGAGCGTGGCAGACTTGCCGCTTACCTAATCATGTTTGAGGATCCCAACTTGCCATGTCAGTTTCCCCGCAAAGCAGGATGTGCTGGCTCGCTTGTGGAAGGTTGGCCAGCGAATTTGTCTTGCTTCTCATGCTTGAACAGACAGAATGACAGGCGCATTCCATGTATGACCTTGTCTTGCGCGAGCTCAGTGCTATGTTGACAAATGGCAGGACAGGCTTCGTGTCATGGCGTTCTCAAGAGGTCGTTGTATCCCATGTAACATGCCAGGAGAGACTCCCGCACTGATGCCCCCATCCTGGCACAGATGGTTGAAGCATTGAGGTGACAGTTGCCTTTCAACCTGAAACATTTTGAAGTGCGGCGTGTCTTGCTTTGGGTGCGTGTTAAAAGGAGTGCGCGGCGAGCGCCCCATGGAGCCGACCTGCTCCGCGAGTGCCCTCGCGAAGTGAAGCATGAGCAGCTGCGCCAAGCTTTTTGTTTTGAGATTTTCAAGCTTGCTGCAGGTATGTGCCACAGCTCCTGTTGATAGATGCTGAAGCAGTTCTTCCCGCATGACTCTCAAAACAAAATGGCAAGGCACTGGCCCAGTTTGCTTGTCTCTGGCAGGTGTTTGTGACAACAAGCCGAGAGCGAGAGGTCCATCACAGATTGCTGTCGGTCTGGCAGTGAGAATCTGATCCGCATCACGAATTTGTGCGCAGATGCCATTGGAAGCAGATGAAGTTCTGGAACTGCTCCAAGGCTCTTGCAAAATTCTGTGATGAACTTCCCACTGGCTGTTAAGAGTTGTTGAGGACACGACTTCCTTGTGCTCACCTTTCTTGAGGACCTTGTTGAGAAGAACCAGGCGCTGCATGGGGATGCGGATAGCTTCGAGCCTTCAGCCATGCCAGTCCAAGACCATCAGTGCCAACCCCATCCCCACTGCAAAAGGAAGTTCTCTCCATAATTTTTCTCCGGTTTTCAGGACAGGAACGAAAACGAGCTAACATGCCAATGCGAGGGATGCCGAATTAAAGCAAGCACACAGGCTGAGCCCCGGCACTGTGCAAAGCTGGGCCTAGCATACGTGGCGAAGGTAGAGGAGGCACAGTTTCATGACTGTCTTGAAGCACTTGCATAGTCAGCGATCTGAGGAGCTCTCTCTGCCTGGAGCACAACGCATGACACCGACACGAACAAAGCTTTTAAGGCTGGATTTTTTGGTGTTCAGGGTTGCAGCAATTCAAGGCCTGTGAGGGTCTGTTTGCACTCGTCGGCTAAGCGGCACAACTTGCCCTGAAATCCGCTGCAGACTTGCTTGAGCAATTGAACCTGAAACTTCGATGTTGACATATGCTGCCCGCGGAGTCCATATTCATTCATGGTACGCTTGTGCTTTACAGATGTTGCGGATCCAGGTCAAGTTGTCAGTGGGTTTGCTTGTGATTTGGATTTCTCCGGCCGGCAGGTTTTTGGAGGAGGCGGCTGGTGTTAATGCGGAGCTACTGCCCAGACTCGAAGCCCTGCAGCTGCACGAGGACACGGTGCTTGCATGGGACCAGCCAATTCAATCGCCGAAGCCCAGCCTTTTTTGAATCATATTGAATCAGCAATTTCAAATTTGTTGGTGAAGGTACTTGGCTTCGCGCTATTGATTTTTCCACAGCTAGAGATCGCACTGCCCGCGTCCGTTTTTTTTTTTTTTTTTTTT